TTTTTTTTTTTGGTATATTGAGACAGGGTCTCACTATGTAGTTGAAACTGACTTGGAACTCACTGTGTAGCACAGGCTAATTCCTTCTTAGTCAACATTATTTCTGTAGGTCTCAGTTTATCCTTTCACTAATACAGCATATGCTTATATAACATTTTAATTTATCCACTTCTTAGCAGACATTGAGATTGTTTCTAATTCATTACTATTACAGTGTTATAATGAACATTTCTGCTATATAGGCTCAGGATCAGGCAGCCAGGAAGTAGAAGAATCAAGCCGAAGACTTGCGGGTTGTCTGATTCTGTTCATTGTTTTCAACCACCAACCGAACTACCATTCATCATTTATTGCACAAATATTTTTAGAATAACAGTGATGGAAATTTTTAAGAATTTCAGTGGGATTGGATTGTTGGTGATTTTTCTTGTAACAAGTCAACTCTTAGCTTCTATTTTTGTCCCCCTAGTTTTTGGTTAAATGAATAAATTGTATCATTAATCTAGTACTGACAACAGCTCTGTATTCTCTTTCTCATGCTGATGCATTATCTGTGTCAGTTCTACCATCTTTTTCAGTAAAGAGTCTGATATTCAGTAAATATTTTGGTCTTTGTTGGTCAGAGGCTGATTCAAATACTCAACTTTGCAGTTCTAGTATGAAAGCTATCAAAAACAAGATATAGGGCGAGGGATTTAGTTCAGTGGTGCCGCCCCCTGCCGCACAAGTGCAAAGTCCTGAGTTTGATCCCGGGTACCCCCAAAAAAGGACAAGATATAAACCCATGAATAGGCTGTGTTCTAATAAAATGATTTACAAAAACAGATGGCAGGCCAGATTTGGACCTGGCTAGTAGTTCCCTGATCCTGGTGCTAAATAATTATTTTAATGCCGTTATAATTTTTCTGTATATAAATTTTACAGTATTACAAGTAATTCTGTAACTAATACCATTTTCTCTTTTGGATATTATATCCTTAGGATAAATATCCAGAAATGAAAATAAAAAGAGGGCATTAATTTAAGTAATGAGGGGCCAGGGATTTAGCTCAGTGGTTCCACCACCTGCCTTGCAAGTGCAAGGTCCTGAGTTCAATCCCTGGTACCAAAAAAAAATTATGTAATGGAAAATAATCCTGTATTTTAATATTTATTAGGTATACATTTTACAGAGAACTGTTAAAAGATGTACTTACAAACATTTCTGTTTAGATCTGATTTTATGTTTAAAAAACTTTTTTTTCTTTTTGGTATTAGGAATCGAACCCAGGATGTTGTACTTGCCAACCAGGCACTGTACCTCCAGGCTACATCCTCGGCCCTATGTTAAAATTTTAAAGCTCACTTGTACTTTTGATCTTCACTTAGCTTATACAATAGTTTAAAGTTCGCTGACCATTGTACTCTATTTGCAAATTTACCATCACAACTTTTTGTATTTTAATTTTCTTACTTCGACACCCAAAAAAGTACATTTATAAATCTAACACAGAAAACCTTCCTACGCACCAACATGTTTATAAACTGAGTAAGTCCAAACTTGCTAACTTAACCAGTCAGATTCCCTTAAGCATTTAAAGTAGACTGCAGTTAAATTTTTATAAGTCTTAAGGGCTTGGGATGTAGCTCAATGGTAGAGTACTTGCCTTGTATACTTGAGGGTATAGGTTTGGTATGAACACTACAAAATAATAAGTACAAATTTATAAGTCTTAATATGTAAATCTCTAAAGTCTTCAGATCCTAAAGGCAGACAAAATTTATTTAATGATGATGAAATGTATTACCAATTAGTAATAAAAGTTTGCTTTATTTGTAAATCATAGCTATGCTTGTTTTTGTCTTCCCTTAGGTTGCAGGGTCATTTAAACAACTAAAGACTGCAGAGTATGCTGGCTATTAGGGTATGCATTATGTAATATTTTATTGCCTGACTGATATACTAGAACAAGTCTTAATTTGAATATAGACAGCACAAATTGCGTTGTTAGCTACAGAGTATTGTAAACATTTAATATATGGTTTTTCTTTTAACATAGTGCATTCTCTTTGTGTCTTTTGAATGTCATTATGAACTCATGGCTTTCCACAGAATTACCATTTTTATTATATATATTTTTTCTCTTTATTATTTCTCAGTGCTAAATTGTTTAGTATAAAAAATGACAGCCTTTTAAAATTGTATCCTTTGTTTAATATTAACTTCCTCAAGCATATATGAATATTGTGTTTTCTGGCAACAATAAAACCCTCCAATAAGATTGTTTTTCTTTGCCTTCAACAATAAAATTAGCTGCCTTCCAGGGAATCCTGAGCTATTTTAGTGGATAATAGTATTAGAGATCATATTCTGAATTCAAGATTATCCATAACAGATAATGTGATACTATTTCTTAGACCACTGTAATAATATAGGGAACTAGCTTTTTAAGGTTATGACCTTACAGTGTGATGTTTCTAATTTAGTTACAATTGTATAGAGTATTAAGGTATTTAAAATAGTTTTTTTAAAAAAAATGACTGTACTATATACATAAGTTTATAGGAAAACTAGTAATGCAAAGTCTGTAACAAAAACAGTGGTTCCTACCCCAGAGAAGAGGCAACAGTTTTGAATGTTTTAGTCCATTTCTTCTAGTATTGAACTTTATGTATATATTATGAGCAATCTATGCTATTAACATAGACCAGACACATTTGTGTACTAAATTTCCACAGTGTCAGACTCCCCCTACCCCATCCCATCTCCCCCAGGATTGAACACAGGGTCTTCACCCTTAACCCTTTTGCATTTTTAAAATTTGAGACAGGGTCTTGCTAAGTTGCCCAGGGTCTTGAACTTGTGATTCTCCTACCTCCACCTCCCAGACAGACTTTATTGAATAATAATTTCACAAACTATTCAGTTTTATCAGCAATATCTTGCTGAGAGTACTAGGCTTCACTTAATATCCAATGAGCTAAGCAATCACGGGTTCTTTTATTCCGATCTTAATTACTAATATTTGTCAATTTCAAGTCACACATCACCCAATTATACATAGGTGACAGAAGGTTAGGACCTATAGAGATGTGAAAACCCACCACAGGCCAGATAAGATTATAACCCCCCCTCAAAAAAATTATAGACTAGGTTGAGGCTGCAGGTCACGGAGTTGGTTCAAAGCCCAAGTGTAAACAGCAGACAGTTTGAGTGGGCCTTGTCAAGCAGGAGATGCTCTTGAGCTGAGGCCTGGCAGCAGAATACCAGAGTTCCTCACCTGCTAACTTTGTATTCATCTAGCAGGTGTTCTGAGATGATGGGTTGGTGTGTGTGTTGCCCTTGTACTCATATTGTTGGGTATTCTTCCTTTTGGGTCCAAGTGAGGGAGTTGCATTATTTGTTGGCCTAGTACATCTAACAAATCATGGGCCTCGTTTTCTCTGCTGTGGCCTTGATATGTCATGTAGTATCTATATATCTGATTTAAGTTGTTAACTTTACAGGTGGTAATTTTTTTATTATTATTAATGTATTTATTGGTTTGTCCCTTATGATTATGTTGTACAGCTGAGGGCTATTCTTTAAGTTTGATGTGTCCAACATTGGGTGGCTATTTGCATAGATGAGTTACCAAGTTATTCTGCCTCACCATTTATACTCATAATGGGGCTGGTATTTAAATATTAGAAGTTTGACTTCAAGCTACCTGTGCAACCTTGCATGTGTACCTTATTTTTGTTCCTCAGTAAGAAGGGACGGAGTAAGGCCTTTCCACTGCTGCTTCTTTTACTCCTCTTTTTCCCAGTTCTCAGAATTGATCTTATTACTGAGCCATATCCCCAACCCTTTTTATGTTTTATTTTGAGATCGTATTTCACTAGGTTGCCCAGGTTGGGCTTGAACTTGTGATTTCCTGCCTCGGTCTTCTAAGTAGCTGAGATTATAGGCACGTGCCACTATGCCTTGTAGAACTTTTACTTTTAATAGGATGATATGTTATTTCCTCCATAAATTTAGTGAAGAAACAGAATAGGATAAAGATAGCCAATATTGAATATGGAAATGTTTCAGTCTGTATTGTACTTCCATTAGAATAATGTTTAGCTAAGCTATTAGCTGCTCTTACAAGGTTTTAGTAGCATCCTTTTTTTTTTTTTTTTTTTTTTTTTTAGTACCAGGAATCAAACTCAGGCAGGTGCAGTGCCCTGGAGGTAAATCCCTGGCCCACCATCCTTTCTTCTAAACTGTTTTTAATTTATAAAAGGCAAGTTTTCCTTAGGATTTACTTAAGTTCCCATGTTTGTGATATGCCTGCCTTGATGATGTATAGTTTTCTTGTGAACTTATTTGTCAGATTGGTGTAACTTGATGTTACCCCTAGAGTCCCATCACTTCATTATTTTTAGTTTTGTTTCATGTTTCTCTTTGTATATCAACCAAATTTCTTGGTTTGAGAAGATTATGTCATACCATATTAACAAAAACAGCTTTTGGAAATTACTCTTTAGATAATTACATTTTACTCTTTTTCAGACACATTTTTATCATCATGGATCAGTTTGGAGATATATCAGATGGTGAAGTGGACCATTCTTTTTTTGATAGTGACTTTGAAGAAGCAAAGAAATGTGAAAATAACCTAGTTTTTGACAAGCAAAATGGTGACCCTAAAGAGAGAATAGTTAAGGATACAAAAAATACGAACCTGACATTTGGAATACAAACAAAGGAAAATTATCTTACTGACAAAGGAAATGAAAGAAACATGAAAAATCTTCTAGATGGACATCCCATAGAGAATGATGCAGAAACCAGAAGTTCTTTATCATTGACCAGTTCAAGATCAAAAGAATTGTGTGATGCTACAACTAGGCATAAAATACACTTGCCCATTCCAAATAGAATTCCCAAAATTGTAAAAGAAGGTGAGGATGATTACTACACGGATGGAGAGGAAAGCAGTGATGATGGAAAAAAGCATCACGTGAGGTCCAAGTCAGCTAAACCATCTCATAACTTTAAAAAAAGCATGAATAAAAAATATTCCAAAATTAGTTCCTCTTCTTCTTCTTTGTCTTCCTCATCTTCGAGTTTAGGTACAGACTGTTTGGACCCAGGACCTGATATTTCTAAATCTCATTCACGTCCATCATCAAGGAAACATACAATAACCCTCTTACCACCAAAACAAAAATATAAATCAGGAATAAAATCAACAGGAACACAACCTTCAAGTACTAAGCCAAAAATTGGTGACTATACTGAGGAATCTGAAGACACTGTGACAGATGTGACTCCTTTATCAACTCCAGATATCAGCCCTGTTCAGTCTTTTGAACTGGACACATCAAATTACCAAAAAGTAAAAGTTAAAAGGCAGGAAAATGTGAGTCAAGGAATACATGAAGATGTTGAGGTTTTAAAAAATGACTCAAAATGCTTGAAAGCAGACAAGAAAGGGAAGGAAAAACATGGGTCTAATCTCGCCCCGAAGTCGCCAGTGTTTGATTCCAGTTCAGACCACAGGTGTAAGCAAAAAGTCTTGCATGACACAATGGACCTAAATCATCTCTTAAAAGGTAATTTACTTTTCTTTCTAAAATTTGTATATTTGCTGGGCATGGTGGCCCACGCCTATTAATCCCAGCACTTGGGTGGCTGAGGCAGGAGAATCACTGGGAGTTTAAGGTCAGCCTGAACTGCATAGTGAGATCCTGTTTCAAGAAAAAAAGAAAAAAAAAATGTGTGTGTGTGTGTGTGTGTGTATATATACATATATATATAAAATTTAAGTGTTAATTATCAAATGCTCTGAATTTGCACTAATTTTTCTAGTAGTTATCTTTTATTATTTGAGATGGTTGATATTTTAGTAACTTTGCCAAATATTCTGCTATGAAATTATCTGAAATATCATTTGCATTATTAGGTAATATACTATATGTCAAAGCTGTTTAGGATTAGAAACTTCACACTTACTTAGTGCCTTATAGACAAAATGCTTGTCCCTCTCTTCCTCGAGCCATGGTGCTATCTTTAGTCATAGGCTACTAGAAGATACATGATGCAGTTTTGGTAGTCACCACGGATGTAAAAGTATCCGAAGAGAAACTGTCCCTTTCTTTGACTCTTGGTATGTGAGGAAACTTTTAAAGGACGTGTCCCCTGCCAGTTTGCACTTAGTGTCTTTGTCTATAAATGGGTTACTGTCTATTCCTGAGCCAGTCATTGGCAGGGGAATGGAATTATTTCCAGTCAGTCAGGTTCACCCTGGCCTGAGTTAAGGGTGGGAGTTGAGAGCAGAATGTTAAGGAGGAAAATAAGAATGTTTGCTAATGGGCAATTAACTCTCTATACCAGAGATTCTCTGACTTTTAAGATGCATTCACGTTGTCTCTGGCATCTTTAAATTGAGATTCTGGTTTAGTAAAATGAAAGTAGAGCCCAAATAGCTGCAATTCTAACCAGCACTCAGTTGTTAGAAAAAATCCAAAGACCATCCTCTTTGTATTAAGACACTAAATGACTTTGTTCCACTTAAAATAAATACAGATAATCCCTTATTATTCTCTTCTAGCTAGTTTCTGAAATTAAGCTAGATATAGCACATCTATATATTTTTAAGTCTTAAATGAGAAAAATAATAATCACACTCCAAACTCCTAAACAGTTTCTCCAATTATAATTTTTTTCATTGAGTTTATTGGTATTTTTTAGGTATACAGTACAGTTACATTCATCATTGGGATCTTGTACCTTTACATGACAGATGTTGATTTTCATTTTTCCCCCATACTCCTGTCTTCCCTTCACCCCGTCCACCCACCCTTCCCTGTTTACAAAGACTTTGTTTCCATTTTTTCCTTTTCTCATATTTTTTCTTTTCCCTTTCCTTTCCCCTACCCTTCCCACTCCGCCTACACCTTTAGCCCTTTCTCCAATTATAATTAAATCAAAATACTTTGGAAAAATTTCAGCACAGTGGCTGTGTTGAAGCAAGCTTCATTCATACTGCAGCACAGGAGAGAGCCCTATTCTAAGGCATTTGTCAGTAAATGGTGCCCAGGGCTTTTAAGGCACAGGGGGTGCCTTTTGCCAGTTTGACATCCATAATTTGACAGTCTACTAAGGATTCTATATAATAAAACATTTGAAACCCTAATTATGACTGTAGTCTACTATATTAAGGTATATCTTTATTTTAAAAATCATTATTCAGGGCTGGGCGTGGTGGCACATACCTGTAATCCCAGCACTTGGGAGGCTGAGGCAGGAGGATCACTGAGTTTGAGACCATCCTGGGCTACATAGTGAGTTCCAGGTCAGTCTCAACTACTCAGTGAGACCCTGTCTCAAAAAAAAAAAAACCAGCAACAAAAAACCCCACCAAAAATCATTATTCGTATTCCATTTACACATTGGCTCTTTTCAGATCCAAGGATATTTTCATAAATGTTTCTCCTTTCCCCTGTGTAACTAAACCATGATGTTGGAAGTGATTGCACAGGTAGGCTTAAGTTTATCACTTTCAACTTCTAGTGAATAGAATTTCCTAGGCTTCCATTAGCTCACATAATTTTTTCATGACCCTTTTCTTTTACTTGAAAGATAAATGCACTTAATTTGGGAAGATTATACTGACAGTGTATAATATTTAAAAAAACTTTTGAGGACAGTTTGTGATCCTATTAGAAAAAAAACTGAGGTAGGAAAGCAAGGGTAGTTTGCATTCTCTGATTTTAAACATTTTCATTGCCTTAGGAACAAAGATACTTCTAAAAAAATTTATTGATTCTGGTAGTGAATTTTGAGGGAGTAAAAAAATTCACAAGTTTTACGGTAGATATTAGGCAAGAATTAAGATAGTGAGGGATGCCTATGTAGCCAACAGTGTTAACATTTATTGGTTTAAAAGAACTTGTTTATTAAATATAAATTTGAACTATAAAATATTAAGCATGTGAAACACAGATTAATAAAATAATATAAAATCAGATATGCTAGTAGAGACCATAAAATGGTTAAACAGTGATGAATTGGATACTTATATAGCAAGATGGAAAAAATTCTAGAAATAGTGTAAGAAAATTTTAGGCTTCTGGATGTTACCCACACAACTACAAACAAGTTAGTGACCAGTTATTCACTTGTGTAAGAAATAATTGATTAACATTGCTAAGGTCCATTCTAAATTAAGTTCTGGGGTTTTGTGAGGATTGTTAGACCAGTGTTTATTGGCATTATTAATTATATGACTTTGAAGTAGACCTTGAAATATTAGTAAAATTTCTGAACATTCAGCCTCTTTTATCTCAGTTGGAGGCTGACTTGGGGAACTTCCCATTACTCCTCCAAACCTGTCTTTGCTATGTAAATGTTAAAAGGATGAGCTTGGAATTAGATCTTTATATAAGCTATATAAATCCTTAAATAGGCAAAAAGGGCTTTAAAAACTGAAGTAGTAGAGCCAAGCCTGGTGGTGCAAGCCTGTAATCTCAGTAGGCTGAGAGAGAGAGAGAGAGAGAGAGGAAGGATTGGTAATTAAAGACCAGCCTAAGTTACATAGGTATCTCAAATCAAAACCAAAAAACAGGAGTAGAAAACAAGTTTTGAATCAGGTTATGGCATGGTCCTTACATATTTGAAGAGCATTAATTTGAAGGTCTGTTTCATACTTTGTGTGTATAAAATTAGGTCACTTGGGAAGAATCTGAAAGGGCAAAATATAGCCATTCTAGAAATGCATGGCCTCAAAATGTACCACACAGGCTATGTATGAAATAATCACTAAAGGATGTTTTTTGAGAAGAAAAACCAATATATAAGAAGTGGAACTGGGGTAGAGAAACTGATTACCTTTTTTTACTAAAGTGACGCCAGCATGTGAGGGAATGAAGTGACATGACTCGCGCAAGGAGAATATGCAGAGCCTGTTAGACCTCATTAAGAAAGAAGGTACCTTCTGGGCATTGTGGAGCACACACCTGGTAATAATCTTAGCACTGTGGGAGGTTGAGGCAGAAGGATTTCAAGTTCAAGCCCAGCCTGGATAATTTAGTGATTTAGCAATACTGTGTCTCAAATTAAAAAAAAAATTTTTTTTGAAGACTGGGGACATAGCTCATCAATGCAAAGGCCCTGGGTTCAGTCCCCAGTACTGAGGGGGAAAAGGAGTGTCCTGAAATCATTTACTAGCAGTCCTACCCCAGCAGCTACCAAGTACTACCAAACACTTGAGAATGCTGAAATCAGCAGAGGTCTTAGTCTCATGATAAAGAATGTAATATTTAAAACTGTTCAAGGGCCGGATTTTAGAGGGTACTTACAAAGACAAAACTATTTTTATTAAAACTGAGCTTAGCTTCCTTTTTACATTCTTCTGATACAAGTGGAGTCTTCCAGGAGCAACTTGACAATGACAATTCAATAAAAACAGTGGTTCCCCCCCCAACTTTCTCCCTCCCTCCCCTCCTCTTTTTTTTTTTTTT